TGGTGCTGCTGCGCGCCGCGGCCGCGGAACAGGCGCCGGGTACGCGGGGTGTCCGGGCTGGGGGTCGGGAGCGGGACCGGGCGGACGAGGGGAGGCGGGATGGGGCGGAATGGGGGGGGGTGTCTCCGCACACCGAGCTTTCGGGTAGAGAGAGGACGGGGCCCCCTTCCCCTCCCAACCTCACCCGCCGTCCCGGCCTCAGTTTCCCTGCCTGATGGGGTCATCTGTCCCCAGAGCCCGTTTCAGACGTGGAGTTAGCGGGCCGGAAGCCTGGCGGGTCCGGTCAGAGGCCACGCCCCCGCCCGGTCCCCGGGGTCGGCCCGGCCCGCGGGACCCGGGACTTGGAGGGGCGTCGGCAGGCCCGGGGGTGTCTGTGCCCCCTGCCCCGCGGGGTGTCCCCTTCCATCCGGTGACTTCAGTGCCCAGCTATGTGGGGGGAGGGACCCGGTCGGGCCCCGTGCCCGGGCGTGACTCACCCGCCGGCGGCGGGAGGGGGGCGGGGACCCGGCCCCGCGCCGCACTCCGCACGGCCGCGTCCCGGTCTGGCCGTGCGGTCACCTGTGAGGAATGCGGCGGGGAGGGCGCCGGTGACTCACGTTATTCGAGCCGACCGACCCTGACCTCAGCCCTGAGAATAGACGCGGGCGCCCCTGACCCCGGCCCCCTCCCCAGGCGCCGCCCCCTGCGCCCGCGGCAGCTCCTGGAGCGCCGACCTGGACAAGTGCATGGACTGCGCCTCGTGCCCGGCGCGGCCGCACAGCGACTTCTGCCCGGGCTGTGAGTGCGGGGGGGGGCGGCCTGGACCCCGGGGCGGGAAGGGGGGGTCACGGTGGGGGGGCAAGGCCTGGCGAGGAGGTGGGGGAGCGCTGACTGCGAGTCCGGCCCCTAGGCGCAGCCGCACCTCCCGCTCCCTTCGGGTTGCTTTGGCCCATCCTGGGGGGCGCCCTCAGCCTGGCGCTGGTGCTGGCCCTGCTTTCGGGCTTCCTGGTCTGGAGACGGTGCCGCAGGAGAGAGAAGTTTACCAGTAAGTTTGCCCCTGCGGGTCGGTCCGCCCATGACAGCCCCCCCCCCCCCCGCTCTCCCCCCTGCCGGCGGTGACCCCTTCCTTCTTCTTTAATCTCGCAGCCCCCATCGAGGAGACCGGTGGAGAGGGCTGTCCCGGTGTGGCACTGATCCAGTGACCCAGCTACCGGCGCGGTGCCCACTCGTCATTCATTCATTTTGGAGCTGGCCTTGGCCACCCAGACACAGCCTGAGCCAGGCTCTTCCAACCACAGGGGGTGGGGTGGGGGTGATGAATCACCTCCCAGGCCTGAGCCAGGGCTCCGAGGAGCCTTTCTGGGGTGTCTGATTGCCCTGTCTGGCTCCTAGACAGAGAAGGAGCCTCATGCTGCCTCATACAAAGAACCTGCAGTACTTGCACACGGGGGTCTCCTTCCCCCACTGCCCGGCTCACTCCAAGGGCAGACACTACTAGGCACTCAATGGACTGAAATTCCACCACCGCGGCTCAGCCCCGGCGTGGGGGGTTAGGAGCCTGTTCTTAACTAGGGGCTGGCCCTCCATGAGGGCAGGTCCTCATGTAAACCCTCCCCCATCCCCCAGGGGGGAGGAGATATTTATTTTGGGGGAGAAACTTTGGAGAGGAGAATTTATTAATAAAAGAATCTTTAACTGTAAATGGTTAGAGCACTGGCTTGATCCCCAGCTTGACTTCTCAAAGCTGGGGGGGGGGGTGAGTCACCGCGGGGGCGGGGGCGAGGCTCTGACTCACACATTCTCAATGCTTGGAGCCCAGCCTGCCAGGACTTGGCCTGCCCCGACCGTTTTCCAGGGAAAATCTTGTGGAGAAGCCCCCCCCCCTAGGATCCAGCACCCCACCCTCCACCAAGGCCTGGAGTTCCAGACTGAATCAAACCTTCAACTGTTCAGCAATCTTTATTCATTTAGTACCCGTCTTCCCTTGCTCTGCCCCTCCCACCCATGGAGCTCTGGGTCCGCTACTGGAAAGGTCCTGATGCCCTGGCACGTGGTCTGGAGGAGAGACCAGCACCTTGTCTCCCAGGGGGGCTGCTTGTCTCTGCGGTGGTGGGGCAAGAAGCAGGTGGGAAGGTACACGGGCAGCAGGGCTCAGAGCTCCATTGTGTCCCCGGTTGGCGTTGCAGGGTAGTGGGGACCGGTAGTACCCCCCAGCCTCAGCAGCCGGAGGGCCTCGGGAATCAGGCTCCCAGGGTAGCGCCAGAGAAGCAGCTCGGAGCAAGGGCTTCTGGAAAAGGAAATATTTCGATAATCAGGGCATGCGGCTGATAGCTGTCTTGGCAGGACCTTGAAGGTCCAAGTCCCGAGGCCACGATGGGAAACAGCACACAAGTTAGTCTGGAAGCTAAAAATAGCCCCATGAGGCAGGCCATGGTGAGCAGTGGCTCTTGGGCCCAAGTGTGGTCCTCCAAAAGTCCTGGCGGGCGGAGGTGCCTACCTGAGCGGGGGCAGGGCTGGCGGGAAGGCCGAGGGGGGGCTGCAGTAGGGGTGGTCATTATGTAGGCTCAGTCGAGAGAAGTGGGTGGCCATGTTCTCCTCAGAAAGGAACTGCTTGCGCAAGGGCTCCCTGGGGAAAGACACAGGGGAAGGCAGGCAGAAATATTGAGAAGGGGAAGGCCGAGGTCTGATGGAGGCCGGAGGTGACAGATCTCGGGAGTCCTCCCTGCCCCCAAACTCACTGCTCCTCCTTCAGGCGCCGTTTGGTGCTCAGGGGCACAGCTCCTCGGAGAGGGGAGCTGGGAAAAAGAGAGAGCCAGGTGCACCCCACCCTTTTGGCCCCTTCCTGGGGTCCTGCCCACCAGAGCCTTACAGCGTGAGCGGGGCCCCCAGCCCGGCCCTGTGTGTGCGCGCTACCTTGAGCGAGCCCGCGCCAGCAGCCCCCCCTCGTGGCGGGCCCAGCTCCAGCGCGAGCCCCGCGGCTCCCAGCATCTGGTGTCATCCTGCAGGCCAGCCCAGGGTCTCCAGCCAACGCTCCTGAGCCCCTGATCGCCCTCAGCCCCTACACGCACCTGGCTTCCAGGCTCCGCGTCAGCCCCGGGGCAGCCCGCGCGTCGCGCAAGGCCCGGCCCGGGGGGCCTCGTTCCAGAGGCTGCTGCAGGATCATTGGGGCTCGGGGTCCTGCGGACAGAGGGGTGGGATCCGGCGTCGGGGGCGGAGCCTCGGAGGGCGTGGCCCGACGCGGGAGGTGCGGCCTGAGGTGCGCGCGCGCGCGCGGTGGTGAGGTTCTGCGCAGGCGCGGAAGAGGAGCGGCGCGCGGCTGGAAAGCGGGTTGGCTCGGCGGGGTGGGGGAGGGGACCCGGCGTAGGGAGCCGCCGCGGGCGGCACTTCTCAGTGTAGGGGGCTGGTTGGCGTCCCCCTCGGTTCCTGGGGGTACCGGGAAGGACTAGCGGCTGCCTTCGCGCCGGGCCGCCCGGCCGTTTTGAGCGGGCCGCGAAGAGCCACTCGTGGGCACGTCCGGAATCCTCCGGCTGAGCCGCTCGCAGAGCAACCTGGGACTTGTAGTTCTTGTGGGGATGGAGCGCGCCTCGCTGCTCGCGGCTCCTCTGGGTCAGGTGAGTCGGGGCTGCGCGCGGTACCTTGTGGGGTTTGTAGTCCGTCCGTGCTGGCTCCGACGGGGTGGGCCGGGAATGGTGTGGGGACGGCTCGAGGGCCTGATACCAGGAGAGCCTCGGAGCCTAACGTGAAAGTCAGGAGGCAGGGATTAAACGTCAGCATGTGTTAGAGCCACTTTTTAAAAAAGCTTGACACATACTAACAATACAGGGTCTTTTTTCTTCTTTTTTTTTGGGGGGGGGGTGATACTTTGTGTGGAACCCGGAGCCTAGCCTATGCCAAGCATGTACCCAGCCACAGCGCTGCCCTCCCCCAGCCCCAAGAGCACTTATTAACCCTTTCCTACATGAAAGCCCTTTGTACAGCTTTTTACATACACTTATGGAATTGTCTGTGAGCATCTGACCATTCTTGAACCTGAGGGGCTCCCCTCGAGGCCCGCTCTAGGGTTCCATGAGGCATGGCGCCTCAGTTCTCACCTCACCCTCTTCCTGGAGACACCAGTGGGGTAACAGGGGCAGGCACCAGTGTGTGGGTCGGGGAGCCACCTCAGAAGGCTGAGGAGTCTGGGTATGAGAGGCTAGGAAGCCAGGCCTATGGCGGGGAACTCAGGGACAGGAGTCTGGGCAGCGGTCTCAGACCCCCCAGTCTGGCCTCATCCAGCCTCTCCCAACAGACAGAGGTGTTTCAGGCCCTGCAGCGGCTGCACATGACCGTCTTCTCTCAGAGCATCTCGCCCTGTGGGAAGTTCCTGGCAGCCGGCAACAATTATGGGCAGATCGCTATCTTCAGGTACCCTGGGGCCTTGATTTTCACTTCCTATGAGCCCTAAGCGTTGGATACTCTTGGGACTGGCGCTTCCTGCTTCTGACCCCTGACTTCCCCTTGCTTCATCTCTTTGCGTCAGCTTGTCTGCTGCTTTGAGTTCAGAGGCCAAAGAGGAAAGCAAAAAGCCTGTGGTGACCTTCCAAGGTGAGTATAGCTGTTGAATCTGGCTTAGGAGATGGAGGAAGAGACTGGATAGGCTCACGCCAATTCTGTTTCCTTTAGCCCATGATGGGCCCGTCTACAGCATGGTCTCCACTGAAAGACATCTGCTCAGTGCTGGGGATGGAGAGGTGAAGGCATGGCTTTGGGCAGAGATCCTCAAGAAGGTAAGGAGGCTAGAGCCTGGAGAAGGACTGGGCTGCCCCGTCTGAAGCTTACTTGAGTTCACTTGGTGTTTCCACTACCTTCCTTCTATGAAGGGCTGTAAAGAGCTGTGGTGTCGCCAGCCCCCATACAGGTGAGTCACGGGTCAAGACCCACGGGTGGAGGGCATGCTGGGAGAGCACTGCCCCTGATGTCCCCCTTCCCATCCTCCCCAGGACCAGCCTGGAAGTGCCCGAGATCAATGCCTTGCTGCTCATCCCCAAGGTCTAAACCCTTTGTGACCCAAACCTTGATCTTTCCCGCTCTGCCCGTCTTAATTTGATGCTGACTTTCTGCCCCACTCTGCCTTCCATGGTAGGAGAACTCCCTCATTCTGGCTGGGGGAGATTGTCTACTGCACACCATGGACCTTGAAACGGGGACCTTCACGGTGAGCAGGGCTCTGGAGCTGGGGAAATCTACCCCAGAGGAACTCACGGGTCATCCTCATTCTGACCTGGTCTCTTTCCCTGCAGCGGGCCCTACGGGGCCACACCGACTATATCCACTGCCTGGCACTGCGGGAACGAAGCCCCGAGGTGCTGTCAGGGGGCGAGGATGGGGCTGTGCGTCTTTGGGGTAAGAGGATGGCTAGTTAAGAGGGCAGCATCAGGATAAGAGAGAGGCTGCGATCCACGTGGCTCACCAGGAACCTCGGCTTTTTACCCACAGACCTCCGCGCAGCCAAAGAGGTGCAGACCATCGAGGTCTACAAGCATGAGGTAAGGGCACAGTCCCCACCGCACTGTCGGTCATATCCCCACGCTCTCCTCATCTTTCCACTCTTCCATCCCAGGAGTGCTCAAGACCCCACAACGGGCGCTGGATTGGATGCCTGGCGACTGATTCAGACTGGATGGTGAGCTGGGCAGGGTGTGTGGTGTGGGAGCAGCTCTGGGACCTCTTCAGTGAGGGCTCTTGGCTCATTATGGCTGGGGACCCCTCACTTTCCGCCCAGGTCTGTGGAGGGGGTCCAGCCCTCACTCTCTGGCACCTCCGATCTTCCACACCTACCACCATCTTCCCCATGCGGGCACCACAGAAACACGTCACCTTCTACCAGGACCTGGTGAGGCCCTCTGCCTTGCATCTGCCACCCTTGCCTGGCTCCCCTCTGGGCCCTGACCCTGACCCCCTCCCTGTTCTTCAGATTCTCTCCGCTGGCCAGGGCCGTTGTGTCAACCAGTGGCAACTGAGTGGAGAGCTTAAGGCCCAGGTGCCTGGCTCCTCCCCGGGGCTTCTCAGCCTCAGCCTCAACCAACAGCCGGCAGCACCCGAGTGCAAGGTGAGGCTTGCCGGGAGCTGGGGACCCCGGGGGGTTGAGTGTGGGCAGGCCAGTCACACCTCTTTTGCTCTCAGGTCCTGACTGCTGCGGGCAACAGCTGCCGGGTGGATGTCTTCACCAACCTGGGCTACCGAGCCTTCTCCCTGACTTTCTGACATCACATACCTGCCCCCAGCGGCTTAAGAGTGTTTTTTTTTTTTTTTAAATTTTTCTGTCATGGGGCTTGGAACTCAGGCTGAGGGACGTGGGGCTTGGGGCTTGAACTCTGCACCTGGACACTGTCCCTCAGCACTTCAGCTCAAGGCTAGTGTTCTATCACTTGAGCCATACCACCACTTCTGGTTTTGAGTGGTTTATTGGAGATAAGAGTCTCATGGACTTCCCTGCCATGGCTGGCTTTGAACCATGATCCTCAGATCTCAGCCTCCTGAGCAGCCAGGATTATAGGCTTGAGCCACTGGCGCCCAGCTTCATCTATTTTTTTACAATAAAGTTTCAGATTTCCCAAAAAACGAAGACTTAAATTGTTGCAGTGACTTATATATTACTCTGTCCAACCTTAATCTATACATAAATACCCACTCCCACACCTACTCCCAGAGCAGGCCAGAGCAGGGGCTTAGTACTTACAAAAGATAGACCTATAGAGATTGGAGAAATAGCTCTGCCCCCACCTGCTTCCGCCACCCACCTGGGCCTCAGCCCTAAAGCTGGCCCCTCTTCCCAAAGAGCCCCTGTCCGCCTCCTGGGGAGGGGAGGGCACCGCCTGGCAATCATCTGCGCCTTGTAGCTCCATCGGCCGTTAGCGTGAGCCCAGGACTGGCAATCACGGCGGTCCAGCCCTCAGGTCCTTCGGAAGAGGTTACTAAGGAAGCCACCGGCCTGCCCCTGGCCCAGGCGCAGCGAGAAGCGGGTCGTGGCTCGGCGTGGGGCCGCGGCGCTCAGCTCCTTCTGGCGCTGGGAGCGCAGCTGCTGACCGATCACCACCTGCATGTCGTCCTGGAGGCGGGAGGGGGTGGGTCCGGGCTGCGTCAGGACGAGACCCGCCCCCTCGGCGAGCACGTTCATTTGCATGGGCACGCCCCTCCCGTCGCCCCGCCCTCCGTCGTCACGCCCCGCCCCCGGCACCGCTCTCACCTGCCAAGCCTCAAGCTCCTGCGTCAGCGCCACCTTCTGGCGGATGGCGCGCATCAGCTCCCGGGACAGCGAGTCCCGCTCCAGCGAGACGCGGCTCAGCTCCAGGGACAGCTCCAGGGCCCTGCGGGCGGCAGGGGCGGAGAGCCGGTTGGAGGGGGCGGGGGAGGCGGGCTCGGGACCCGGCGGGGGCGGAGGGGGACGGCAGAGGCTCACTTGTTCACCGCCTCGTCCCGGTCGGACAGCGCGCCGCGGAGAGCCTCCCCGAGGTCGCCCTGCGCGCGCAGCTCCTTCTGCCGCCGCAGCTCCTCCCGCAGGGTCTGCAGCTCTGCGCCCCGCAGTGCGACCTGCGGGCAGGGCAGGAACGGCGGGAAGACGGGGCCGCGCCGAGCCCCCCCCAACCCCAGCGGGGTCGGAGCCTGGAGTGCGGCCCGGGAAGCCCTAGAGGGGCCGGGCGGAGGGGGACCCACGGGACGTCCGGCCCGCGCCCTCCTACCTCATCCTGCAGCCTGGCCACCTCCGCCTCCTTCTGCTCCAGTATTTCCCCGGGGCTCAAGGGCGCTCGCTTCTTGGGGGGTTCCAAGCTCTCTTCCTGGGGTGCAGTCTGGGGGCTGGACCCCGCCTGAGTATCCAGGGCCGGGGTGGCCTGCGGGCCGCACGAGTGAGTCGGGAGGTGGGAAGAGGAGGAGGAGAGGCCGCGCCGCCCGCCGGGGAGCCTCCCGCCTACCTGGCCGTCTCCGGAAGCCTCGGCGTCCGGGGCCTGGGGGCCGTGGAGGCTGTGGGCGAGCTCCGACTGCAGCGAGGCGCCCGACACGTCGGCGTCCTGGAGACGGGCCTCCTCCTCCAGCTCCGACACGCGCCGCTGCAGCCTGCGGAGCGCCCCAGCGCCTCTGCGGGCCTCGGCGCGCGCGCGGTCCAGCTGCCGGGCCGCACGGGGGCGCGGGGTCAGGGGCGCCGCACCCCGCCGCGATGGCCCGCCCAGGCCCCATGTCCTCACCTCCAAAGCATCCCCGGCCCCACCCATCGCTCACCTCCCCGGGCGGGGCCCCTGGCCTGCCGCCTACCTCCTCCCATTCATGACTTTGATCCTGGGTGACTGCCCTCTCCTTCCCAGCCTCGCGCCCCTCACCACAGCCCCGAGAAGCTGACAGCGAGGCCACCGCAACTCACACAGGGGGACAGGAGGGGAGGCACCCCACGACAGTCAGAAGCCAGGCAGCTTAGGAAGCAGCCTGCCAGGAGCTCAAACATCAGGGGAGCTTCCTCCTTTCAATCCCTCTGTCCACGTCCACGGCCTGGGACATGGCCCTGACGGGTGTCTCCCTGTCTGAGCTCTTGGGCCCCGGGCCCTTCCCTGGCCTCCCTGCTGCTGGGCTGTGAGAGAGCAGATCACCCCCACACACCCCCAGCAGGCTTCTGTAGCTCCCGCTTGCTCCAGGCTGGCCGTTCTAGTCAGTGCCCATTCCCCAGAGTGCCCACGGCCATTTCCAAGGACCCGGCTCGCTGCGCCCCTCCCTGCGGTCACCTCCAGGCTGCTCTCCTTCCTCTCCCGCCTCAGCAGCAGCAGCTCCTCGTGGCTGGCCTGCAGCCGGCCCTGGTCCCTGTCCGCCTCGTCGCGCAGGCCTCGGATCTGGGCCTCCAGGTCCTGCCGGCGGCTTTGCAGCATCTGGTTCTGGAGAGAGAGGCCTCAAAGCTGACCAAACCTCACTCACACCAGCCGGGCCCGGCTGCTTCTGGTTCAGACAAGACCTCCAACCCTTAACTCTCACCTGCAGCCCCGGCCCCGGCTCACCTCTGCCTGCAGGCTCTCCAGCCGCGTCCTCAGCTCCGCCCCAGCCAGGGCCTGCCCCTGGCACTGCCCTCGGAGGGCATCGAGTTCTCTCTGAAGCTCCTGCTCCGTCTGCGAGGCCTGGGGACGGGGGTGGGGGGTGGGGGTGAGCAGCAGAGCCTTGGGCTGATGCCTGCCTCAACCACTGACCCCGGCTCCGCTGGGCCCGGACGCCAGCCCCCTCCTCCCGGGGTGAGGCCGGCCCACCTGCGCCAGCTGCTGGCTGAGCCGGAGGTTCTGCTCGCTGAGCTCGCCCAGGGCCCTTGCGCGCTCGCGCCCGCTGTCCTGCTGCTCCGACCGCTGCTCCCCCAGCTGGGCCCTCAGCGCCTCCACGTCCCCCTCCAGCTCCACGGCCCGGGCCTCCCACTCGGCGCCGCGCGCGGCCAGGCCCCGGCGGAGCTCGTGGTTCTCCTGCTGCAGCCGCTGCGCGGGGGGGCAGAGCGGGGTCAGATCACAGCCCGTGCCACACAGACAGGAAACAGAGGGGGAGAGACGGCAACCCGGAAGGATCAGAGGCAGGGCAGTAGAGAGAAGGTCTAGATAACAATGGAAGTGGGGCGCCCGGACCCCTACGCACCTCAGGCTGCCGCCTCAGCTTCTGCGCCCGAGGTCGCATGCGCCGTTTTTGGCGCCTAAGCCGGGCAGAATTTAAGCCGCGGCCCATGGCCTCACACAGCTGGGGCGTCCTGGGGCTCTGCAGCCCAGCTTCTGCCCAGCCCCTCTCTTCAGTTCCCTCTAATTAACCCTGGCCTGCCCAACCCTGGCCTGCCCCACCCCAGACTCTACCCCCCCACCCGCCCTCCCCCAAACCTGTCTGACCAGCAGGGGGGACGCGTTTGGCACACCCAGATGACCAGCTTGGGGAAGCACAGGACTCGAGGGGGCCTCTCTCTGCTGGGCCTTGAACCAGGAAGGGCCCGAGCCAGGATGACAATAACCACGGCTGCTGCAGATCATTAGCAGGTGTTAAAGCACCACCCTGAATCTGCATGACTTCACAGAATCGACTAGAGGGCGCTGTGCATGCCCTCAGACGTGGCTCAGAGAGCTTAAACACCTTGTCCGAGGGCCCATGGTAGATGAGTGGCAGGGGATGATGCCAGGCCCAGCAGCAGTGTCTAGAATGGCCGTGGGGACTCAGCTGTGCTTGCGGTTTCTGGGTTCTGCAGGGTCTGAGTAGTCTGCGAAAGTCCCTTTAATATCGCCAAGTCTCATGATCCCATTTTCTCCAACACCCATCCATCCTGCATCCTCCATCCAATATCTCCCTGCTCCTCCTGTTCTGGGGCTTAGTTGTCCATGGTTAATGGAGGCCATTCAGGCTGCCTCCTCTAGCAGCTTAGAGTCCACAGGGCTATTAGCAAATGGAGACATGCTTGAAGCAGGAAATTTCAGGACAGTCCAGGCTGTGAAGGAACCCAAGGAAGTGAGTGAGGAGTGGGGCGGGGCTCCCTTAAGGAGTTGATGCTTGGATTGGCTCCTGTAGGGCCAGAAGGAACCAACCAGAAAGAAGTCTGTGTTAAGAAAGAGCAGGTGGGGCTGGGAAGGTGGCTCAGTGGTAAAGCGCTTGCCTTGCATGCTTGAGGCCCTGGGTTCTATTCCTTAGCACCCAAAAGCAAAAAAACAAGCTGGAAGTAGTGCTGTGGCTCAAGTGGTAGAGCGCTAGCCTTGAGCTGAAGAGCTGAGGGGCAGCGTCCAGGCTCAGAGTTCAGGCCCACGACAGGACCCAAAATAAAAACCAAAACAAAATCCTCTTTGGGCTGGGAAGGTGGCTCAGTGGTAGAGCGCTTGCCTTGCATGCTCGAGGCCCTGGGTTCGATTCCTCAGCACCACATAAGCAAAAAGAAAAAAGCCGGAAGTGGCGCTGTGGCTCAAGTGGTAGAGCGCTAGCCTTGAGCTGAAGACCTGAGGGACAGTGCCCAAGCCCAGAGTTCAGGCCCCATGACCGGACCCCCCCAAAAAAAAAAGAGCAGATGCAGCCAGGTAGTGTGGTGGCTCAAGCCTGTAATCCTAGCTACTCTGGAGGCTGAGATCTGAAGATCACAGTCCAAAGCCAGCCTGGCAAGAAATTCCTATTAACCACCAGAAAACCAGAAGTAGCACTAAGGATGAAAGTGGTAGAGCGCTAGCCTTAAGCGAAAGAACTCAGGGACAGCACCTAGGCCCTGAGTTCAAACCTCATGACCAACAACAAACAAACAAAACCAGCAAGTACATCTGGGTGCCAGTGGCTCACATCTGTAATCCTAGCTACTCAGGAGGCTGCAATCTGAAGATCAAGGCTTAAAGCCAACCCATGCAGGAAAGTCTGTGAGACTCATCTCCAATTAATGCTCAAAAACCCAGAAGTGGAACTGTAGACCAAGTATTAGAGTGCCACCATTGAACACAAAAGCTCAGGAACAATGCTCAGATCCTGAGTTCAAGCTACAGTACTGGCACACATGCACATGCACATGCACGCATGCACACACACATACACACACAGAGATTTACAGAGATTGGGGAAAGCATGTGTGATGAAGAGCCCATGAACAGGTTGAGATGCCTAATAGGCAGCCTGGTAGAAAGGGTGCAGGGCAGTTGGGAAGTAGAGCCAAGAAGAGCCTGGGAAGAAGTGTTTGGCAGAGGTGCCCAGAGGTGACATCTGGAAATCCCTTGCCCCGCGAGGATGGGGAGCGGCTGCTGCCATCTGGTGGCTGTGCTGTGCAGTGGCTGAGCTAGAGCACCGCCAGACAGGGCCAGCAGCTTGCCAGGGTGGCCGGGGTTACACAGCCAGTTCTGCCACTGAGCTATACCCTCAGCACAGCCCAGAATTCGGGTTGTTCCCTCCCTCCCTTCTTTTGTTTCTTCCTCTCTCTCCCTCCCCCTGCTGTCTGGCAGTATCAGGGGTTGGAAATTGAACTCCTGGCCCCTCTCCTGTTGTACTACTCAAGCCACACTTTCAACCTCTAGAATTGTTTTGTTTTGATGCCAGAACTGGGGTTTGAACTCAGGGCCTGGAGATCCGGCTTAGCTTTTATGCTCAAGGCCAATATCCTACCACTTGAGCCACAGCTCCACTGCAACTCTGCACTGCTTAACTGGAGACCCGAGTCTTGTGAACTTTCCTTCCAGGGCTGCCTTCAGATCTCAGCCTCCTGAGTAGCAGGTTAAAGGCAAGTGCCATTGGCACAAGGCTGGACGTCTTGCTTTCCACTACTGGACCACACTGGCAGAGGGGCTTGAGGCCAGCACCGAGTCCTTCCAGAGCTATCCTCCTGCTGATCTACCCGGTCCCTGCCCTCTGGCCTGCCCCCAGCCCAGCCCAGCCCAGCCCCTGCCTCTGGCCTGCCCCAGCCGGGTCTCCCTCCCGGCCCCGGCCCGGGCCCCCCTCACCTCCTCGCGCTCCGCGTGCTGGGCGCTCAGCGCCTCCAGCTGCCGCCGCAGCTCCTCGTTGCGCTCCAGCAGCATCTTGCCCAGCTCGGCGGCCAGCAGCAGGTCTTTCTCCTTCTGCTGCAGCTGCAGCGCCAGGTCCTCCGGCTCCTCGGGGCCCCGGCCGCCCCCTTCCAGGAACGAGTCCCGCTGCTCCAGCACGAAGGGGAAGAAGCCGTCCTCGGCGCTGGGGGAGGCGCCCCCCGACAGCGGCCCGCGGCGGCTCCGCGCGTCCGGGGAGCTCATGGCACCTGCGGGGCCGGATCGGATCACTGCGGGTCAGTCCCCCCCACCCCTGTGGGTCACTGCGGGTCAGTCCCCCCCACCCCTGCGGGGCCGGGTCACGGCGGGACAGCCCCCCACCCCTGCGGGGCCGGGTCACGGCGGGACAGCCCCCCCACCCCTGCGGGGCCCGGTCACTGCGGGACAGTCCCCCCCACCCCTGCGGGTCACTGCGGGACAGCCCCCCCACCCCTGCGGGGCCGGGTCACCACGGGACAGCCCCCCCACCCCTGCGGGGCCGCCGGGCCCCAGGCCGCCCTGGGCCACCGAAGGTTAATGATCTACTTCAGCCACTCGGCTCCCCGTTAATGTCCCCGGGGTAAACTGAGGCAGGGAGCAGAAGGAAAGCAGCTGCCTTCTGACCCCGGGAAGCCTGTGCGACCCCCCTGCAGTCAGTGTCCGAACCCCGGGCCAG